AATCCTGGCTTAGTAGTATCGATACCTAAACGAAATTAGAGGATGACTGAGCACCACTTGTGGAACGAAACAGAAGGAAGATTAAATGCAGAAGAGCTTTACAGTGTGTGGGTAGATTTGAAAGAAAAAAATTTAGTACCAAATAATAGTTCCGGTAAATTTGTATAGTAACGAATGCACATATCAAAACCGAAACAGTATTATGGCTAATGCTTTGTTATCCACAGCTATAAATAACAATATCATTATTGAGCAAAAGTTTCTTGAAGTAGGCCATATCCAAATGGAAGCTGATCGAACGAGCACTTAAGAAAAGACATATCCATGTTCCTGCAGAATACATTGAAGTATGTAGATCAGCTAGAAAAATCAAGACCATATGACGTAACTTATCTTAGTTACACGTTCTTTAAAAGCTTTAACACAGTTAATTCTTTAATAGCATTCGTCCCGGTCGCGGCAAGGATGCTGCTAAAGTAACTGATATACGAGCCCTACGGTGTACACCAAGTGGCGACATACATTTCAAACTAAGATTCTCCAACGAATGGGAAGTAATACCGCAAAGAAAATCCCCAGTAGATGTTTCCTTGCCGTTTTCTCACCTTCCGAATTTATACGAGAGTAGGCGTACGATTGCTCGCAGAAAGTATGAGATCTCCAGTATTTCAAACGATTAGTTCCTGAAGATTACCACGCCTTCTATAAAAATTTACCTTATGATTGAATAATATTTATCATACTTTCTAGCATTGAGTTCCTACATAAATTATCTTATATGTGTTCCTTGTACTATTAATTTGAGAGAGGAATACTTCACGTATAGTTACTAATATATGTTTTATAAACTGCCTATTTTTGTTGCAATAAACGGAAGAATAAATCTGCTGTATTTTTTTTATATATAAAGTTATTTTGTTTATGGAATACTGTTTTAATTAACATTTAAATTGAGCTCGTAATCACAAAAACTGAAATAGAAACAATTTTATTCATACAAAAAACCTGCTAAATACACTTCAATTTTGAAAATACAAAAACTAAAACCTGCTAAGTTAGAAATTCGCCAATGAAACCATAAAAACGTAATTTTTTTCATTCGTCCTGGATTAGGGCCATAGAACGTCGCGCGATTAACAAACTATATGTAGGATTTGCCCCTTAGACTAAGAGTTAAAGATATATTTAGTTTTTTGCTTTACAGTAAAATATGTTTTTTGGTCGTTAGCAGGTTTACACTCTAAGGCTACGATATGAAGCACATTTAACTGATGAAAATATAAATTGTTTTTAAATTGGATGTTTACATAAATCTCATAGTAGTTTTATTTTAACTTTGAGTCCTTTTTCATTTATTTATACAGCGAAATAGCACATAAATTACGTAATTCACGCAGATGTATTAATATTTCGTTAAATATTTTGTTTAAACTGCCCGGTTTCCTGCAAATAAATTAGAATTTACAAAAGGAATTTCAATACTAATTGCCTACTTTGCGTACTTTTCTACTACCATTTTCGCAACAAGGGATTGCATTCTTCCCCTTTATCTGTCCTTTGTAAATGCAACCTTTTGTAAGGGAGTGTCAAACTGCGGCTGTCAATAATTATCTAACCTTGTATTATTGAATCATGGCATGTACACGGTGCAGCGAACAAAGGAGGCGCCGTCAGTGTCAGTGGTACCGCTACTTTGGTTTTGCCGATTTTGACAGTTGTGGTAACTTGTAAATAAACCTTTGTTTACAAATCAGCGAAAGAGAAATTTGAATTAGAAGTTAAAAATTAGTTTGAATTGTGTTAATTTGCAATTTGTGAGTGATTTTTGAGTTGAATACTGCGTAAAAACTAATAAAATGAAGTGCTGTGTGTTAAATTGCGACAGCTATCAAGATGCAAGATGCGTAGATGCAAGTGTAGCGCTGGGACGAATCGCTGCATTTTGTGTACATAGGGCACGGCAAAGCCGTTCCCGAAATGTTTCTTTATTATAACATTAACAGCATTTCCTCACAATGATTTTGCTTCTGCTCCAAGCAGCCTCCATTAGCAAGTTAACCTATCAATCTCGCTGAGATGCTGCCGCAGTTTTCTGCAGCAGCCTTAATTGCAAAGCAATGGAGTGCACTAAAACGTTTGCTAAAGCAGCCTCAATTGCAAGGCAATGGAGTGCACTAAAATGTTACCTATTCTCTAAAAGATTAGTTAAAAATTCAATATTTTCGCATTTAGCAAAATTAAAACACGTTTTTCGCTGTAAGGTGACCTGTTTTAGCAGTTTCAACTCGTTCTTCTTTTCGCTCTATTCTTTGTTTACTTGTGGTACACAAATGTCATCATCCCAATTGCCATCATCCATCCCAATTTGCCAAACGACGTCGTAACGACTCCCCTGCAGCCCGCAAGAACGATATACCAGCGAACTGCAAAACGACGCTCAAAGTTGTTAGAAAATTAAAAACAATTTTTTTAGTTTAAAATAGTTTAATTTAATTCATTGAACTTTTTTCAAAGTTTTTTAAATATACATAAATACTTAAATATTAATAAAAAAGAAAAATAAGGTAAACATTCAGTCATAAAATACAAACAAAAATTTTAATATATTTTAATATAATATAAGTTTTAACAAGTGAGTTTTTTGTTACTTCATTTTAGTTTTGTTTAAAATTAATTAAAATTGGCTTTATTTTTTAACAAGGACCATGTAGTTCAAAATTAAAGCAATGTGCAGTATACATACATACATATATATATATATATATATGTATATATAAAAAAATTTCAACAAGCTTTCTTAAAAATTTTAAGCTATTTAATCTGCATTTAAGAAACACATAGGAAGCAGTTTTATAGTCCATAAAATGTTAGTATAATAGAACACAGGTTTGAAGTAACACTAAACTCACATTGATTTTTGGTGTTATTTTTTTGCGGTACTGCGCATTTTCATCCATATGAATTTTATGACAGAAAATGCATGCTTTGAGGCACTTCAACCTTGTATTATATTATACATACCAAACTTCAGTGGACTTTAAAACTGCTTCATATGTGTTTCTTTAATGCAGAATAAAAATCTTAAAATTTTTTTTGTTAATTTTTTTTATATGTACATACATGCATATGTATATTGCGCAATTTTGAATTTTGAACTATATGGTCCTTGTTAAAAAATAAACCCAATTTTTATAAAGACAACTAAAATGAAGTAACAAAAAAATAAATTGTTAAAACTTATCAATATGACAGATAGTATATTTATGCAGACGACTGTGAAACATTTATTTTATTCCGTTTTGAGATCCTGTCTCCAGCATAATGGAAATATCTTTTGGTTATTCGCTCTATTATTTCCACAGATTCGTTGAATTTTTGCTGGAATGCTTCTGAAATAATATTTAAAGTATATTAATCATTTTTGCATCAACAATTAAAGCGTACTTCTAATTGCCGCTGTTGTGATGAGATGCCGCTAATTTTCTCCATTTTGAGTCCCTTCTGTCACCTGATAAAGACTTGCGTGCCAAATGAACTTTTCTCTCAAAGTTTACACTGCTGGCAAATGTAAATAAGGATTACAATTTAAACACTAATTAATCCGACTAAAGTAAAATCTGTGGAAAATTAACAATAAAATAATTTTTTCGCAAAATCTATAAAGGACTCTTTTATTTCTCAAACAAACCTGGGTAACAGTTGTTCGTCGCCACGCTGTAAAGCAAAAGTACAGCTTTCTACCAAATTAAAAACAAACAAACCTTATTCCCACAAATTTTATTTTTTATTAATAAGTCCAATAGAGTGAACTTTACCTTTATAAAAAACATTTTATATGAAAAATATTATGAATACTGAAAAAATATGTAGGTGGCTTAATTTTCTGAGCACAGTGTACATTGTGGATTCCATATTCTGTTATGATAAAAAATTGTCATAATAAAAACGGTTTACTATCCAAATGAATGACTTTTATTTATGCTTAGATATATTAAAATTTGGACGTGCAACTTGTCCAACCTAGACCGAAGGTTCCTCAAAAAACTTTTAGGTTCGAAGAAACGGATTCGTTTCGAGTTCACCAAAACGACTTCACCAGGGCGACGTCGTAACGGATTCACCAAAGCGACGTCGCAACGACGTCGTTTAGAGTTCACCCAAACGACTTCACCAGAGCGACGTCGTTTCGAGTTCACCAAAACGACTTCGCCAGAGCGACGTCGTAACGACGTCGTCTTCGCCCTGTGGCAATTGGGATTCTTGTGGCATGTATGTATGTATTTATAGCGCGTCTACCATTCAATTGCTTTACTCTTTGCTGGCGCCAAGAGCGTGTTGGCAGGCTAGTTGTGAGGAATGTGCATACGTACGTATGTATGTATGTACATATCAACATAGTTACCAACTTGGTGCTTTAAGCACTAGATTTAGTGCTTTTTGAAAATTAAAAGGCCCAAAAAGATTATTTATGGCTTAGTGCCTTTTTTAGTGCTTTTTTCTGAACTAAAATTACTTCGAGATAGTTAAAACCTGATATAATTTGAAATATTTAAAGCTGCGCCAGCACTGAATTTATAAGAATCTACAAATTTAAATGGACTAAAATACAACCATGATTGATAACAAGCAGAAGTTGCAAACCCACCTTGTTAATGAAAACAGCGGAAATTTTTTTGTCGATCGCATTCCGAATGTGAGAGATAATAAATTTTTTTGCTTTTTTCACTCGCGATAAAAGAATGCAAAAATTGATTTGGAATATTATCGTTCGCGAGCGTGAGAGAATGTGAGTGAGAATTTCCGAACCCTGGTCAGCACCAAAAGGAAAAATCAGTAGGTGTAGTGATAACACATTAAGATGGACGTAAGAAAAAAAACCATAGCAATACTTTTGGGAAAATAATTTTAGCCTTGAAATCAATCGTAGTATCGCTCTTGTAAATAATTCATCCGATCTAAAACTTATTTAATTCAAAAAATTGTTATATTATATTTTATAGACCCATGGTCACCTATTCCATCCACCAACTGAAGAACACCACAGAAGAGAAGAAAAACAAGACCTTACGAAGATACCCGGCGTCCCTGGCGTAGATTACCCTATTTACCATGAAGTGCCTCATACGAATTTCCACTGTGCCAATGTACCTGCTGTGCCGGGAATGTATGCAAATATTGAGACCGGGTGTCAGGCCTACCATGTTTGCCACGATGGACGGGAAGGTCATCAAGGTGCTTCATTCCTCTGCACCAACGGCACTATTTTTAACCAAAAGGAGTTTGCGTGCGACTGGTGGTACAACGTGAAATGCGAAGAAGCGTTTACCTACTATCAGTAAGTTTAGCATTACTAATGCCTTCGTTATTAAAAAGCATCGTCAATAGCACTGTGATCTTTAAATGCATTTTTGCCCACTTTGCACGATTGCATAAAATATATCATATAAATATCACGGTGCTACAAAAAAGGAACACAAAATACACCCAAAATAAAACTTCCCTCCAATTGTATTTTATTATACAAAAAACGCTATTTTCATACTTGATGTACCTTTCCATTAACAGCTTGACTATTTTTCATCCGATTTTGAAAATCAGAGATTTTAAATGATGTATAACAATATATTGTTAGCTTGTTTTAAAATTTAAAAAGCCCCTATAAGGGTCAACTTGTCAAATAAGGTTAAATTTACTATACAAAGAAATAAGTAGCATGATTTTTTCAACCAGCGTCATTTTCGGGGTTTCCATTTTTGCGATTTGAAAATTTTGAACAGGAAAAGTTTTACTTAAAGAATTTTCAAATTATCGTAATTTCAGGCTCATTCTTAATTCATAAACAAATCAACATTTGTTGTTAAACATGTAGTTAACAAATTTTGACTCTTGTATTGCGCTCGGTTTCTGTGTCTTTTAATTATAGTCTCATATACGTTCGCGGAATCTTCTTTCTATTTTACGTCCTGTTTGACCTATATAACTATGCTGGCATTTGCAAGTTAGTGTATACACTCCTTGTGTATCCATTGGGTCTTCTTGATTTGTGAGGTTCCGTAGTATCCGTCCTACGTTGTTATTTGTTCTGAATGATGTGTTTCTGGAACAGCTTTGCTAGTTTGTACGTTGACTTTCCAGTATAGCTTAACACCGCCCTTCCCTTTTCCTCTACCAGATCTCTCTTGTACTCGTTATTTGCCGCTATAGCATAAATTGCATTCAGTTCTTTTTGCATCCTTTTTTTGTTGGTGGTATTCGCTCAATTTTATGCTGATGAGGATAGTTCGAAATATTATGAGTATTATTGTATCTGTGGCTGTGGGCTTCCCAAAAATTTTCACATTGCAGACTGCTGGTGTTTTTATTTATTTTAATCGTCAGATCTAAGTAATTTAGCTTTCCTTCCATTTCTTGTTCCATTGTGAATTTTATGTTGCTGTGCTGTTTGTTGAGGTATTCCAATATCTGTTCTTCATTTTTCTTTGTTATAAGACACCTGGGGGGCTACTCCGTAATGCGATGCGAAAGAGAAATGCGATGCGATAGCCAATCCCTACAGCGTATTACTTACGACGTATTTGCCCCCCTTGATGTCATCAACGTATCTGGCATAGAACGTCGCTCCTAGTTGTAAGATACTCCATGTAGATCAGTGATTTCCAAAGTGGTCCAGGTGGACCCCCAGGGGCCACGAAGTTTTATCTTGTTTCGATGTAAAGAACCAAAATGGTTGCTTGATAGCTTCTTTATTTAACTTAAATTTTTTTAGTGGTGTATAGTGCTCTTGAGGCACTGCTGCACTTACCGCCAGTTAGTGTTTTTCTTGTAGACTAAAAAGAACTGGATGCTAGTATGACAATGAGTGGGGCGCGACGAAAATTGCTGGCGGTAGAGATTAAAGCACTTCTGTCTTTTCAATGCTACAGGATAGTACGCCACCATTACCTTTATTGATTCTAAAATGTTGAGTTCCTTGAGACTGAATGCTGGTTTGATTCCATCGCTGATACCGGACTCACACATTGTCGATTCTTCACTGATGACTCCAAAACTGGCTCTGGGTCATGATCTGGGGTCTTTTTCGAATTTAATGGAGATAAGCTTCAATTTTCTGTAGGGGAATATGCTTCGGTCTTCCAGGCTGAGGTAATTGCAATACTCAAAGCCATGGACTAAGGGTAGAACATAGGTGGAGGGGAAGGAGTTTACGTGACTGCAGTGACAACCAAGCTGCACTTAAGGCATTGACCAGCCATCTATTTAAGTACTTCCGAACTAGTTCGGCAATGCAAGTCTCGACTAAAATATGATGGTGAACATAACGAGGTTGTTTTATTCTGGGTGCTTGGTCACTCTGGAGTACCTGTTTATGAGACATCTGATCATTTAGCCAGAGTTGGCTCAGACCAGGCATTCCTCGATCCGCAACCAGTGTTAGCACTCCCACCTTCGGCAATCGAAGCCACCATCAGAAACTGGGTGAATACTTCGCTTAAAAATGACTGAGGGGCATCGAGGGGATGCAAGTGGGCAAGGTTACAGGTAACAAGATCAACGGAAATAAGGTCAATTGACTTTATTTCCCACCCTGGTGCGAAATAAAGTCAATTGACATTATTACCTTTTCAAAAGCGAAATAAAGTCAACAAAAATTTGGAAATAATGTCATTGACGCTATTTCCTCATTCAAATGGAAATAGCGTCAACAATGCTTAAAGTATGTCGATTCATAGAAAAAAAAGTTGTTTTTACAATAAACATTGCCCCGTAAGTGTTGTTTTTTAATAGATGAAAAAGGTTATTGCCAAATTCTCAGTGTTGTGATATTAACACAAATCATGAACTACAGCCAATTGATTTTATTAAAAAAAATTTAATTACGAATATGTAAAAACACGATGCGAAAAACTAAACGCCTGCGCACAGCTGGAATACGAGAAATATTTGAAGAAAGAGTGTAGAAATGATCCGTAACTTGCAAAACATGTTTCGATTCCACAAAAATAAAGCGAACACTCTTAAATATAAAAAACAGTCCATGTCCAAAAACCCCGGAGGAACACTGAAAGAATTCTGTGTTTTAAATTAGCATATTTTGAACGAATTCGGAATGTCTAAGGTGGAAAAGAAATCAACCTTCCTATAAGGAAACAATTATAGAAAAAGAATTTTCTTAAACTGTATTCATGTCTCCGCCAACAATATGTGACGACTTCATTTAAAAGCAGCTAAGGAGAACGCCGACGCTAGTTATTAGATGGCACTTTCAACGAGCCAATGTGCCAAGATGCGGGTATAAACAAATATTGATTATTTAATATCGGAACCAAGATCATGTAAGTTAATTAATTGGTTTTCACACACTTTCGAAACACAAGTTATATATGCTTTTTACCTGCAGACAAGTTGTTGCCCCAAAACTCAGCAGAAATCTTCCAATCAGGGCTGCCAACTATTCTTAGTTATGAGGTGCCATATTGAGGATAAAAAAGTGCCAAACTGTGCCAAATAGAAAAATAAAAGTGCCAAAAAACGTGTCATTCCTTTTAATCATTCACAAAAATGTATTGAAATGTTATTTTTTTTACAAAATTTCCATTTTGGCACTTTGTGTCAAATGTGGCTTGAGCCAAGTTGGCATCCCTGCTTCCAATAACTTACAAATATAAAAATGTGAAATTTCGAGGGCTTGAATTCATTAATACCACCTATCAGCAATTTGCACAAAAACTAATTTGTGATTTTAGAAACTATCTGGGACTTATTACCTGTCGTTATATAAGGTAGCATTAATATCACTGATAACAGTTAAAGCTTAGGTGGATT